AAAAGCACAGAAGAAAGGCATTCAAGAAGACATACGCTTGGAACATACTGACTAAAAAAACAAAGTGACTAAAAACGCCACATGGACCCACATTTCAAATACAACATGGCCCTGGTCACCGCTGTCATAGATTCAAATATAAAACTCACTAGAGGAAAGAATAGGTTTGACATGTGGATATTTATAGCATATAGTGAAATGCACATTGGAGACAGTTATATGATGCCATAGAAAAGGTCAGGCTTGGGCCCGTTCTGTGTGAAAATATATTCTAAAGCAAGGCAGTCCATAACAGAGGCAGGATCGCACCTCTGACACCTCCCAGAGATCCACTCAGCTCAAGTTATATTGGATTTAGAGTGTGAGGTGTGTTACAGGTCAAAACTACAGCCCGGGAACACAGATATATCCAGATCTATAGAATAAGACTAAAATCCACACAGGGTCAAGTGTGGGTTGTACAGAAGAATATCAACAAGTCAAGAACAAAAGTGATGCATGATGGATGAGAGCTATGAATCAAACATGACAATACCAGCATAACATAATGTCCAAAGTGTATTTTAAAAAGCTTCTAGAAGTGGCTGTATTGAATGTTATATTTTTTTGTATTATCCTGATGGCAATATTCAGATGAAATTATGGCAATCAATCAGAAATGTCAGAAATGTTACGATATGATACAATAAACTTTTGTGCCTTCGTTAGTTTGTACGACCATAAACGAAACAAAACAAAAAACAAATCAAATCTGGCATCTTTAAAAAAAAAAAAAAGAAGATAAGAACTAAGAAAAAAAGTGATTGTATTTCTGTTAGAGGGGTTAGTTTATGGAACAACCTGAGTAATGAATATCAAGCATTATGTTTTGAAAGACATAGAGCTCTGGAATGAATTATGCATTAATTTTTTTAAATGTATAGCTGTAAATGCAAACTTGTTGTTCATGCACTGCGATCTTTTCTTTTTTGGAATTCTGTTATTGTTTAATAGGGTTTAGTACTTTTGCTTTAGCTTGGACCCTTTCTGTCATGATCCATGTAGTTGTGGCCTGTTTTGTTTTTATTTTGTAGTGCTGCAAAATGACCCAATTAAAAAAAATAAATAAAAAGATCCATGCAGGGACAGATGACTCTCTGTCAGGGACAGGCATGTCTGTGATTGTCTCCATAACTGCTTTAATAAAGACTCCTTGATACCTTTTTTTTTTTTTTATGTCATAAATGTTGTAGTTGAATTTCAAGAACTGGACAAAAAGATAAGTTTGAAGCCATGCTGTGGAACATTTCAGACAAAATAAAAACATCTGGAAAAAAGCAGGTGGTAAGCCTTCAATTAGAGAGTCTATTATAGAGTAGCCTACACATTTAGGGGCTGTTTTAATAAATGTAATAGAGTAAAATCTGTTTTGCCCCAGTACAGATATACTGTAATAGCAGCTTGTTAAAGTCAATATGAGACTTGTTTTAAACTAATTATGAACTGTTTTTATCCCCCACAAATCAGGAAGTAAGACATTGCATTGTTGGTGCATTGTTAGCATGCTAGTTGTTCTTAGCATGGTCATGATTCTGTTCTATCTTCTAAAAATTGTGAAATGTGCTTAAAAACGCAAGTGTTAGAAAAGTAAGGGATAACTTTGGACTACTGCAGGTACTAGTTTAGTATTTTTAACATTTTCATGACAGTAAAAATCAGGTACATTGCTTTTAAAAGTTTTAAGTAATGGCCTTAGTTGAGTACAGGTTGATTAGTTCTCAGCTAAGGCAAAAGTAACAAGTACTCAGCTATTCTCCAGTTCTTGACCCAGGATCTTGGCCAGGACTATTGCATAGTTGACATCTAGAACACCTTCAGACGTGCTTTTGATGAGGGAATAATAACCTGGCAGAAAACTTTTTTTAAAAATGCATAATGCCCCCTCTTTAATACAGTCATTTTGTGCAGTAGTTAATTGAAGAAGCCCTAAATTGAATCACCAGAGAAAACAACATCAACCATGAAAAATTGAACAAAATTAACTTACTGTCAAAGAGAATAGCCTGCAGACAAAAAACTGCTTATTTCAGAGAACATACTACCAGTGCACATTTCACGCTGCATATTTTGACATGCTATCAAAAAAGTGCCTGATGTTGAGGAGTCTCCTGAGTATGCTCGCTCCTCAACTTTTCTGCTGGAGGGTCCGCCATCTGTTTGTCTCCATGGAGATGTTATAGCTTTCCCTGGAAAGTTCCGTGGTATGACATTAAACATATCTATCTAGCATTTATTCTATACGGGTGTTTCTATTGCTCAGAACTAAATACAATTCCTTCTGTGAATTGAGGTGACAATCCACAGATCTGAATTGTAATGTAGCGACAGATTAAATTTAAGCGATATTTTAGACAAAGCAGTAACATTTCCATGGAGAAAAGTAGGTGGCAGACTCCCCACTAGAAATGTTACGCAATGTACCTTTAATATGATGACAACCGTATTTCAGTGTTCAAATCATCTCTGCTTCATTTGTCTGTAGGTCCTGGGTGCTTTCTGCTGTGGCTTTTGGTGAGGATGTTGACAGTGCCAGCGGGAGGTGGCAGCAGCAGTAGCAGTACCAAACCTCTGGCTCAGCACAATGTGAGCCCCTCTCGCGCTCCTTCAGCCCCGAGGCTCCTTAGGCTAATTTTAGATAAGTGATGTGGTCGGGTCTTCTCTGTCCTCATTAGACGGACCCTTCTCACATGTGCATCACCTCTGTTTTTTAGCACTGCGTGTGTTTCTTTAGTCAAAAAGAGTTACGTGCATGTTCCTGACTTGGCTTATTAAAATGGAGCAGTCCCATTAAGTTAACTTGGGTCTACATTAGTGATGTATGGAACAAGTTGGGCTTTGGTGGATAATTTTCATGGGCAAAAATGTAGACATGACCATATTCAAACGGATAATTGATAATAATGCACAATTATATCTTTTTCTTTCTTTTTATACACAGAATCAATAAAGCTTGAACAAAGACTTAATTCATAATCAACACATTCATCAATCAATCAAAATTGTTTAATAAGATTCATTCAGGCTTAGTAACTAATTAATACCCTTACCATAATTTCAAACTCCTTAACAAAGTGCTGCATGCTCTCAGCCCTCCTGTGGATAACTGCAGATCACGTTTACAATGTTGTCCTTGATGCTACCAGTGCAAGATAGTGCCAGTACATTTGTATACAACATTACAGACTGTTCAAAATTATAAAAAAAAAAATATATTTCATCATTGTACTTGTGATATTTATATGTTCTCAGCCTGGGCCTGACTGAGGAGAACAGCTGGAGTGAAAATAACACGTGCTGAGGTGCAGACAGCCACAGACAGTGAGGAGCAGCAGAAGTGCAATGAGGAGGTGACAAAAAGACCAAAATAGAGATGTGATTTCTCAGAGAATATTAATGAAAGACAAAGAAACTCAGTTGAACTGGATCCCTGAATGTAAAACTACTTAAAACTGCAAGATACTGATTGTTTCTTACAGGTGATGTAGTGGTTACAATATCAGACATAGTTATTGCCTAAATAATCCAGACTGAAATCTTGTTGTATGTTTATACAGATTTATCAATCAATCAAATCAACAACTTTATTAATCCCAAAGGGCAATTCAGTTTGCATATCTCTGGTCGTGCACAATCTATAAATAATAAATCAGCCTGGTCCCAATGCCCTCTGTCGCGTTTCAAGCCAAACCAATTTTTTTTTTTCAGTGGCACATGTGAAACAAAGGAACTCATTGGTGAACTATCAGTTACACATACAATCAGTCAATACAGTTAAATTATGTGCTCACTGATTCCGCAGAAATCTGCGTTGTTTTTTTTAGCACACTGTGATATTTTTACTTTATTTTTTCCAATATGAATGGACCATGTATGTACCTGATTGGGTAATCCACCTGTCAATCATGCCAGACCTGCCAGACTGACAGTTTAAAGTACTGAAGAGCATATTCTGGATCCCAGCAAGTATTGTTAGGCAAATAGGGGAAAAGGTGAAATTAACTGATATTTAGATTTTTTGTGATTTATTTTGTAGACTATTCCATTTGTGTACAATATTTACCACTAAACATATAGTTACATACATATTACACAAACCTAACACTTGTTAAGTGCCGTTGAACTGCCCCTCAGGGACAAATAGAATTATTTGAATTAAATTTACTTGTTTAACTCATTGCAGTTCTACTGACTTAATTCCACAACCTTCTCCACCCCTTCACCAGCTCTGTTTCAGGAGCTGATATTTTAATTATATTTTGACTATGATTGCAGTATTTTACATTAAAATATCATTTCTTTGGAGGAGTTATAATGTTAGCAGTGAAGCTGAGCATTTTAACCACAAGTTACTCCAAAAACCAACAAATGAGTGTAGAGTCTTACCAAATAAAATATGCACTGGCCTGAGCAGAAATAAAATCACCAACCTTCTAGTATGCTCAGCCAAATCCACATAATTTTAAAATACTTCATAAATACTGCTCTGGAACTATATCCTACCTACTTGATTTACAATGGCCGTGATTGACAGGCAGAATAACCAATCAGAGAAAAGTCTGGAAGAACTCATGAGAAAAACATGGAGACTTACAAGTAGAAGGAGAACAAAGAGAACACAGAGAAATAAGAAACAGTGGTGATTTCTAGCGCTTATTTATCTCAGGTATAAAAAGTTATATATTTTGTTCTGAATAATACGATGTTTTCCGTATTTGAGAACCACACACGCTACGTGGCTGTGGACTGACCCTCCCAAATTAGATTGTTGTTGATGCCCTTTATGGCACGTTCCAGACCCTTCTGTATTTGAACAAAATATCAGAATATAGGAGGGACTGGCTAGTCAAGCAACCAGCCTTCAGGTTGGTGGGCAGATGCTCTGACCACTAATGCCCTCCTGCCTCAATAGCACTCCTAATTTCAGGGTGCTAAAGCTCAGAAAATTAAAACATGACCCTTACCTTAAAAAGTCTGAGGATGTTGGCGACCATGATGGACACGGAGCTCGCCGACGCTCCGATGACCCCGACCACTTTGTCTGGTTTGGCGAAGATGGGAGACTCTCCGTTGGCACAGCGGACATCAGACCCATCCCGTTCAATAAGGGCCTGCACGAAGGTAAGGGACTGCTCCAAGGCATACGTGTCCCGGGAACAAGTGTCTAAAATCCTGGCACCGAGGGTTACGTTGGGCAAAAGCTCTGGGTCTTTATTAATGAGATCTATGGCAAACAGCATGGCCTCCAGTCTGTGTATGCCCTTCTCCTTTTTGAGCTCACCACAGGGCAAGCCCCTCTCACCGCGCGCATGTACAGGGAACAGACCTCCCAAAATAATGTCCCCGTCTATTCGAATTGAGTGGGCGAATTCTGGTGAGGACAGCTGATCTAAGGAGGAGGCTGGTTTGGGGGATGTGTCACCAAGCAACCAGTAGCTTCCCACAAAAAGAAACGAGAAGAGATCAGAAACCCAACTGGACGCCATGTTTTGGGGTTGGACTCAGGTATACAGGGTGGTCATGTGATCACTTGGTCTAGAGGAAAAGACAGGGCAAAATGGAAGAAGCCAAAACATGCCAAATGGAACCCGGTCCCGCCTACAAACAGCTGTCCCATGTGTGTCCAAAAGATTAGGACAGGCCAGTCACAGGTGGAGGGGGCGGGCATAAGAGGCGCAACAGCCGTCACTCACATGGTACCAGCAACCTAAAGCACAAAATTGAATAAGAGAACCTTTATTTGTCCCACAATGAGGAAAGTCCAGTCTTGCAATGCAAAGTTAAAAAACAGAAGTAGAATAAAAATCTGAATTATGACAAGCAGCCCTCTCAAGAATTAAGAGCTGCATCATTCATTCACGTCCTAGACAGTGGCTGGGGATACATGCACACTCAAAATATTATTGTCAGATTTTTATGACACATAAACAATGAAATTGTCTCATTTCTTTCCGACCACGCTCCCTCTGACTACTCCCATCATATTTAAATCATCTTAAAGGTCCAGAAATCAGATAACAATCAGATTTAGCTCTGCATGTAAACATAGCCACTGGTGCTAGGATGACCTGGGGCTGATTGACAGAACGTGCCTGCCAATCTGCACCAACAGCCTTTGATCAATCAACTGTGTGATCTGGTTGGAGCTGACATAGAAACGTCAATCTTCTAGTTATAATATGAACAGTGAACTTGAATTTCCCAAGTGGACAGTGGATGCCATGCATGCCAGTGTCTCTTCAAGAAATTATTGACTTATCATATCTAATCATATATCATTCATCTTTTCTGAGTTTAACCTCAAATCTCAGTTATGGACTATGTGTTTATGTTGTTGTTTTTTTAATTTACGTTATTAAACCTTCATCGTTGCTGCAAAAATAACAAAGCCAATCTTAAGTCGACCTGACTATCCTAACAATGTAATCAAAATAATTTCATGTAGCCTAACGATCAAGCCTAATACTTCAATGAGAGCAACGAGCCACATGTCTGTAGTCACTAACCTCTTCAGTTTGACCACACTATTCCCTCGTGTCCGTGGGAAAAGCGCGAATGGCTTTAAACGGCTCTGTCCGGAGCACGAGCAGGACTGGCGCGCGCCTCTTTAATGCAGATGTGATAAGACTCGAGATGTTTGTCTAATCACACAAATTGTTATTTTGAGATTCCACCGCGAGTACCATGCACGATTGGGATTGCAACTGCAGCTCCCATCCACCGCTCACACGTATCCAACCAATCCACTTTACGCACTCCCGCTGGCCGCTGCTAATTATCCAAAGACATTGGAGACGGTTCCAAGATTGTTATCTGTTGAAAACTCTTATATGTTGGCTTTAAACAGTTTTCCTTGAGTCGATTCATCACTGCAAAAACACATTTGACTTAAGAGGTTTATCCCAGCGGTGGTGAGACTCAAGTAGAATCTGAAGAGTAGGGGTCCGATTAATGCGAACACATCCTCTTGTGTGTCCTAACGCGGAGAAGAGCGAGCGCATCCGTCGGTGCAGACAAGAGGAGCGCACCGTGCAGTTAGACTCAGTTGAACTTAATGAGCGTCACAATGCAGCCTGTTAGACGAGAACGAAATGGAAAAGGTAAAATAGAGAAATGGCGCCCTCTAGTGAACCTGTTTATAACTTCATATAAAATAAATACACTAACTACCGTAAAAATTGCAAAATAAATCCAGGTCTATCCACGGGTTTCAGAACAGTGACCACTGCGATAGTAACATTATAACAAATTAGCCTGCATTAATTGTGCATGACAGGGGGCTGAAATACGTGGATAATCTGCAATAGCATCATATAACTTTTTGGTTGGAGGTCCATCAGCTGCTTGTTTCTGTGAATATGCCATTGCTCTGCCTAAGATGTTCCAATGACATTCAGCAGGTATGATCTCTAACAGGCTAATTAAGTTACAAATCAGGTCTGTGGAGAAGCGCATGGTAAAGATGTGTGTTTTCCATTTTCTTCCACAATATATGAATGAACTAAACATCTTCATGTGAAAGTATAGTTTGGCTAAAGTTTTACGATGTGGGGCTTAAAGATACAGGTCCGTCAAATGCTTTTCTCCAGATGTTATTGCTCATCTGGAATGTATTAAACCTTTTTATCTTCATGGAGCTCAAACCGGACCAAATTACAGGTCGGATATGTGGAGATAGTGGAGCTGTTAAGGACCAAAAATGTGCCTTATTGTTCACTTTTATGGTACAAGCATGACACTTTGCCAGATTATTAACGTCCCTATAAAATTTCTGGATATGGAACCAAGCCTAAGATGACCCTGGAGCCGAGTACTGCCCATGTGACAAAATGGCTAACATGGAAACAAGGCTGGGAGCTAAATTACCACTTAAACCTCTGTTTTTGGAAAATAATGTCAAATTATCATTAATGCTTCCACTTATGCAGATTTGAGTAACCCAAGATTCTTACCATCATATGTACAGTACTGGGAAATAAGCAGGAATCTTATATTGGATATTTATAGTACCATTAGAAGGCTGCAGTCTATATGGTGAACAATGGACAGATATTGTGAATAGATAGAAAGAGAGAGAGAGATTTAAAGAAAGCATTTAAGATTCTACTACAACTGGACAACACAGCATAAAGCATAATGGTGAACTACATATGTAAGTTTTTTGGTCAGGGGTCTGCCACCTCTTTGTTTCTATGGATATGTCATTACTCTGCCTGGAATGTTCCACAGTGTGACATTAAACTGCTCTACTTTACATTTATTAAGTTACAGGTGGTTTTATAGCTCAACAATACTTAAAAAAAAAAACACTGACATTTGGAATGTGAGCAGGGCCTCTCCACAGATCTGATCTGTAACTTGATCTGGTTTGGTCTCCATGATGATAGAAAGGTTTAATACTATACTATGAAACATTCCAGACAAAGCAACATCTCCATGGAAACAAACATTTGACAGACTCTCCACCAGACAAGAAGTTACACAATGCACATTTTTACAGCAATTTTTCAAGCAAAATGTATGTAGAAAAAAAATTTAACAAAATTGGTGTGAGAGAATTTAAGTAATGTGTCCTCCACATACATTTTTCAGTTTAACATGGACTTACAAGAGCCACATTTACACCATGATCTTCCCTTGGCATACCATTGGCATACCACTATCTAAATTGTAGGATATTGCTGTCTAACTGCTGCCTACTGGCCTTCATAGTTTTACCACACTTGCTTTATAAACCTCCTCTTTTGGAAGCATAGTCAAGAGGCTTGAACCCTCAAAGATCATACTATGTTGACTTTTGAAATCATATTATGTTGACTTTTCAAGCCCCCTGGGCCCGTATTATTGATGTTAAATAAACTTCTCCTGCCTAAGATGTCCAGTTGGTCTCCAGCCTTTTACTTCCACCTTTTCTTGGACAAGCTGAAAACTTCTACAACAGTTAGTTTAACTGAATCTCATGTGATAACTCAAACTATGACAGAAAGCTAACAGTGAGGTAAAATGTAAACCTATCCTATCATATGTCTAATTTAGAATCATATGTATGGTATTGTAGTATACTCTTATATTGTTTTTTTCCTAGCACAATCAGAAGGCTACAGACAATATGGTAACCAAAGAAAACATACTGCAAGTAGGCAGAAATGTACAGAAAGACTTAGAAGAAGGTATTTAAGATTGTGCTATATCTGGACAATGCAGACAGTGAGCTTCAGTGTCTGAACAATGAACCCCAATGTAAGTATATTTTCAAGCAAAAAATATGTATAAAAACTATTTGTTGTCTTATATGATTTTAGCTTAGTACATACAAAATAAAATCATCTCATAATGCACAATTGTGTACTACAAGCTTTTTAGACTGTAACAAATACATCTAGACAATGAGCTTCAGTGTCGGGACAATAGATACTAATATATGGGCCCGGTCAAGCAGAAGTATACAGCAAGGCCAAAAATTCAGGCTAATGCATCTGATATAAAAATGTATTGAACAGATACATATGTACTCTAGTTTATGAAACTGTTTACCTTTTTTCTGTACCATTTTTGGTTCTAAAGTTACATATGTTTTAAACAGACCATGTATGCAACATGGAAAAAAAAAATTTCCCAAATTTCAAAGACCTGCAAATCATGTAAATAAATTGATGTATTTCATCATATCTTGTGTTATTCCATCTTTGAACTGTTGATGAAGGTACATGATTTTTCACCAAAAAAAAAGTATTTAAAATGATAAAAATTTGCTTGGAAGGACTGACATATTTTATAGAAATAGTTACTTTTCATTTTGAAGTAATATTAAAGTATTCAGAAGAAAAAAGCTGACAAATTATGCAAAATCATGCACCTTCTACTTGCTTACACAATTTTCCCTCCATTACTTTTCCCTCTGTTACCATGACCTTTCTTAATAAAAAATCTCATTACTCAAAAAGTAAGAGGTTTTTCAACCTAATCTTGTACCATATGGTAGAAAACTATATGAAGCAAATATTCAAACCAGTTTGTTAAGGATATGTAAATGAGAACCGGTAGTTATCGCTGTTTGTATTTATTACCTAAAAAGTGCTGCATATTTCATTCCCTCCATTACTGACATGAGTTTTTTTAAATTTTTTGTCAACAACTTGAAAGAATATCACAGGGTTAACTTTACCCTGTTGGAGTGCTAACTCTTTCCTGCATTCTAATACCTTACTTATTTCAATAGTCCCTCTAGTTTCTAAGAGCTATTTGAATGTAAAAAATCTGCCCGTTTCCCTCCATTACCACTTGACCAGACCCATACGTATAAAGTATATTAGTTTAATTGAACCTTATAAAGAAATACACTAACACAAAATAAATATAGTGCAAATACAATAATTACAAAATGGAATCACTTCATAGTGCATTATTATAAGGCCATGTAAAACTAACCTATTTTATTTCATTCTTTCTTTAGAATCATAAGTATGGTATTTGGAAATAAGTATTT